GTGTGTGTGTGTGTGTGTGTGTGCGTGTGTGCGCGCGCGCGTGTGCGTCAGGCGCGTACGTGCCCGAGGGCCTGCTGACGTCGTGCACGTGGGACTACATGACGTTCACGCCATCGGTGCGAGCGTACACCATGCTGCTGTTCATCTTCGTCTTCTTCCTGCCGCTCCTCGTCATCGTCTACTGTTACGTCTTCATCTTCAGGGCCATACGCAACACCAACAAGTCAGTTGCTAGTCCGACACGCACGTCTGCACGTTTTCTTTTTGGTTTTTTTTTTGATTCCTCCCAAAATAAAATCCCATCCAATCAAATATGATGCGAGTTGATTGATAAAAATGCAATTGTTACTTCATTCAAAAATTCTAACTAGGAAAGGCCATTCCCAATTAATGATTTAAACCTCATGGTAAGGTTGACTTCTTTGCAAAATGTGCCTCTCAAACTCAAATGGCATTTTTGAGGGACTTTTGAAAGCGAGTTCACCTTTATCGCGAGCGGCTCAGACTCCTTTTTCATTTCGAAAGAAATCTCAAAAGCTTTGGCATTTGAACAATTGCGAATGTTTTCCTCAACCGCGCGTGTGGTTATAGGGCAGTGGGCAAGTTGAGCGGAAGCGGCGTGCACGCCCACGTGGCCTCTCGCGACTCCACCAAGTCCTTCCACCGGCTGGAGAACGAGGGGGAGAAGGGCAAGAACCCTTGCTCTACGTGGTCTCCTGGTCGCCGTACTCCACCGTGGCGCTCACCGCCTTCGCCGGGTAAAACCGAGGCCGGCGTGCCGTTTTTTTTTTTTTGGGTCCAGGAAAAAGGGGGACGCGCCAAGCGGGATACTCGGTTGCGGTCGGCCAGCGTGCGATTCTTGATGTGTTTTGCGCAGGTACGCTGACATGTTGACACCCTACATGAACTCGGTGCCCGCCGTCATCGCCAAGGCCTCGGCCATCCACAACCCCATCATCTACGCCATCACGCACCCCAAGTACAGGTAGGAGAGTCCACACCTGACCAAGTGTGACCTTCTTTGGCCTCATTCTTTCTGGCGGTCGATGACTGGACCCCGGCGGGTTTCCCCGCTTGGCTACGACGGTCGCCCAAAGAGACCGACGGCGTACCACTCGTTCACAGTGCTGCTCTCTCCCTATTTTTTTTTTCCTGTCAATACTTACTCAGGTGTTAACTCCAAGCCCCACTCAGTTGACCTAAATGTTAACTGGGCTGGAGAAGAACACACGCACGCACGAATACACACAAAAGTGCAAGTCACATCGTTGCGGGATAAAAAGGGTTTAAAACGTGGTCATCGTCACTTTGCTGATTAAAGTTTTTTGCACCGTGGAGCGATCCGAAGCTCATTTTTACACAGAAGCCATCAAAGTGGAATCCTTCCATCCATCCATTTTCGAGAGCGTTTATCCTGTTCGCGGTCACTTGACTTTGGTCCAAGCAACTCAACTCCACTCAACTCGATTTCACTTGCAAACAACCACCGCTGTATACAAAGTGCTGTACATGGAGCAAAAAGAATTCATCCGACAACAAATAATAAAACACAAAAACAATCACTTGATAGCAAAGACAGTACAAAGCGGTAAACCGTTCAAACTAAAAATCAAGTCTCATGCTGAGTCAAAAGCCAAAGAATAAGAATAAGCTTTAAGACGAGCGGTCGTCTTCCAACCCGGAGGTTGGGGGTTCAATCACCAGCCATCGCAACTGTATGGAAGTGTCCGCAAGATAACAGAACCCCCCACTTGCTCTTGATGCTGCATCATCATCAGCAGGTAAACCAGGAAATGGGTGGAGAGCGCTTTGAGTAGCTGAGTTCGAAAAGCGCTATACTGTACATGCAACAACTCATTTACCATTCATCAACTGTGTATCAAGGGAGCTGCATCCCAACTATAATGAGTGCGTGTGCGTGTGTGTGTGTGCGCGGGCCTGATATTGTTGTTCAGGGTGGCGTTGGCCAAGTACATCCCGTGTCTCGGCACTCTTCTGTGCGTGCGTCCTCTGGACCTTCGCTCGGCTGGCAGCAGTTTCGTGTCCACGCGGCGCTCCACCGTCACCAGCCAGACGTCCGACATAAGCGTGCACTTCCGACGACGCAGCAGGAGTCGCCTCTCCTCGGTCTCCGACAGCGAATCGGTGAGCCCGCCGCATCGTGCCAACCATTTGTCCCGTAGCGAGCGGTCCCGAGTCAGCGGGGTCGTCATCTCGATGAGGAGGAGCGGCGGATGACTGACCTTCTCATCCCATCCGTAAGGAGAGCCCGTACACCCTGCGGAGAAAACTCACCTCATCTCAAGTGTATTTGGAGAGCACTTTAAAACAACCACCGCTGTATACAAAGTTTTGTACGTGGGGAAAACGAGAAGTCATGAACTCCGTCTTCACCATGACAGAACAATGCAGAGTCCGCAACCCTGCAGACGGGGAGCCAATCCGCATGTTGAGCCACCAACTCATTCTTCCCTCATTGAACAAGACCCGTTCGAAGTCCTCCGCTGGACCCAAAGAGCCCCCCCCCCACACACACACACATACCCTTTTTAAACTGAGCAGCACGGATTTCTATTTGGAGGTGCTGATTCCCACCCTGAGCGCTTCACACACGGCTGCGACTCTCTCCAGTGAGAGTTGATGATCACAGCTTGATGTGACACAGTCATCATCTGCAAAAAGCAGAGCTGCAATTCCGAGGCCGGCAGACCGAGTCCCTTCAACGCCTCGGTTGCACTTTGAAATGTTGTACATCAAAGTTAGCATTGGGAGGGCAGCCCTTGCTAAAGAAAGTCCAACCTTCGCTGGAAACAAACACGGTTTACAAAAACCTCACCCGAATCGGAGATTTGACCTCCCGACGGAAGCTCCCCTCCAGCGCCCCGGAACAGACCAGTGAGGCTGAGGAGTGTGAACGCACCTTTCCCGGTCTGCCGGTCCAGAGGCACCGTCCACGTGACGTTGCAGACGGAATGCCAATCAAGACAGCCAAACAACATCCGGCGCCCGTAGGAACTTTTTCGAAGAGAAGCTTTTTAACCACCTCGCTGACCTCAACCCCGGAGATTGGAGAGGCCACCTTCCACTCCCCAGACAGTTTATCCACCTCTCCACATTTTTCAGTCGTCCACATTTGTTGAATTTGTGGAGACGTTTTACAACTGCACCGCAATCATTACATTCCTGCTTTTTTTTTCCATCTGACAATCAACATTTGTCCCTCAGCATTCACACATTCGCAATTAAGAGTGGGGTTTTTTTTTTTTTTTTGGACAGGGTTTAACAGACACGGAGGCGGACCTGACCAGTCTGAGCTCCCGGCCCGCCAGCCGCCAGGTGTCCAGTGACATCGGCAGGGACACGGCGGGATTGGCCGAATTCAAACCGTCGTCCAGCTTCAAGGGAAAAATGAAGAATCACGACTCGGGAATCTTTGAGAGGGTCAGCCGGCGATAAATATCGTGTTGTTGACGTCACTGTTTGTTTGGGAGAAACCTTTGACCTCAATCTTTGTGCGTTTGTTTATCCTGGCGTAGACATCTTTTGACACGGACATTTCCATGATTGGCATCGGCGAACGCGGCAGCATTCCGAATGTGAGTATCGAACGACACCACGACGGGAATGAATGTCCCCTTTGTCGGATCATCTATCCTATTTGGACGCACTCTTAACTTCGGACCTCCGAGTATTACCACCATCCGTCTGCTCTGACTAGCTTGTGCTCAATTTTCCTTCCAACTTGCGGTGGTAGGCTGTATTCAATGAGTTCACAATGTTTACGCCCCACAGATGCGCAATTGAGTAACCGCACTGTTCTGTACCTACCTTGCAAAAAAAAAAAAAAAAATCAGATTGTAAAGCTTACCATTTGTGTAAGCGTTGTACACCTTAACATTTTGTCCACCGGCAGAGTGGCGACTTGGGAGACGCTCACGCGAGCAGAAGCGTGCTAAGTCGTATCCCGAGCATCGTCATTACCACGGAGTCCAGCCCCTTCCTCCCCATCGGACGCAGCGGCTCACGCTACACCCGGGCCAAGGCCACCTACAGCAGCACGGGGGCCGGCTCTGGATGAAGCACGAGATCGGTCCGCTTTCCGTCGGAATCTTCGAAACGCACACACACAATGACACAAACACGGAAATTTGCTTTGTATTCAATGACCCTCTTAAATAGCGAGCACGCTTCATATACATGTTGTCGCCCGCTTTGTATTTAGGTTGTCAAGAGTTCTACAATAGTTTCGCATTCATTTCGCTGTTTTTTTTTTTCCACCCTGATAATTGGCCAGTTCCATTTTATTTATTATATTATTTCATTTTTTAAAGTTCAGTCCTCTTATTAAAATAATCTTTTGGTTTTAGAGGCGCGACAATGCATCCATTAATCAACAACGAATCGAAAAATACACCAAAAAATATGAACGTGGTCAAAGAGTTTTAATGTTCATTTTTTTTTATTTGTGTGTTTTGAAGACTTTTGTGAGCAACTGTTATGTTGTTGTTGGTTTTCTGGGGTTCTTGTTTCACTGATTACAGTCGAACCTCGTTTCGGCGTACCCCTTTTACGTTTCCACCGCTGAAACATTCACATTTCACAGTCCCGATGTCAAGATGTTCATTTTCCACTTCCCATTTTGTTTATCCTCACTAGAGTCAAGAGTTTTATTTGACTTTTCATAACCTTTCATCCTTAAAATGTGAACTAGAACATTGTGTATTATACACTTACTATCCCTAATGTAAAATCACATTTAATATGTTGTTTCTTAGACCTATTGTTCATCTACATTCACGTCACCATTTGCTTTTATTTTTATGAATAAAAAAAAACAAAAAAAAAAAAAAACAGCCTTGTTTGCTCCCAGTTCAGCCATTACGATGATGCTTTATTTCTGTATTATAGTCAAAATCTAAAGACATGAACACAATGTGGACACACAGGCTTCGGAATACAGTATCTTCTTCCACAGCCATCTAGGTTAAAAACACATTGTCAAATCAACTCCAAAGTACGAGACATAAAAACATGAATGAAAATTGTAATGGTCCTCTGGTCGAGGAGGGTCGTGGTGCTGGTCACAGAGTCAGTGCCACAATGGACCGGTTGCTAGTCGATGGCAGATCATATTTAGATAAACTGAACCGGTCGCCAGTCAATTTCAAGGCACGTAGAGGCAAACAACGGACAGGTGACTCATGTCAGGGCAACCGTTTCTCAATGTCACGCAGAGTCCAGTCTCGTGAACTATGCGGTCTTTCTAAGAATGTAGTAAGGAACCAACTTCCTATGAACGCTAGTCTCTTTATAATTGGAATGGCTCGGTACTTTGTTTTTACGCGTGCTTTCAATTGGAACTGGACTTGGGCAGTGACCGATAACTTTTCCCAAGATCACATGCACGGACAAGAACGGCAATTGAAAAATGGCTATAGATCAGCAGTGGCCTGGTCACAAGCACTGGACATATACAAAAAATGGATTGGTCGCTACAGTTCATGGCAGAACCCCGAAAGAGAAACAATGGACATTAATGTGCTAGTGTATCACGCTGCACATTCTGAATTAACAAAGATAAGTCAGTCAGTCCCACACAGTTTTCGGAAAGTCAGTCAATAATATATTTATTATTGTTTTGTTATGTTTATAATATTTTGACAAGGCTGTGGCTTAAAAAGTAATTGATGTATACGATTAGGGGCGTGTCAGGAAGTGACCGACCTCCTCACGTGTCGGCCAGCTGTTACTGTCTCTTTAAATACAAAGCCGGGCACCACAGAAGAAGAAATAAGACACCAGATAAGAAGAAAGTCCCATGCCACACTCGCCGGCGGGCCCCTCACGACCTGGTTGGACCCCCTCGGGAGGAACGAGTAACTCCACAGCAGAGCCCCAAAGTCACAGTATGGCGGCACAACACTCGCAGGTACTTTGACGCGTGTTCGTACTTTTTGTGCCCTTCTGTTGCCGCCTAATCCCCTTTATCTTCATCACCGGCCGGCGGCACTCCCCCTGAGGTGAATCCGGCGCAGGTTGCATGTGACGTCATCACGTTGGTCCCTTTTTTGCGTGGCGCCTTTTTTTGAGAGAGTAATTTTCAAGTACAGAACCACACAAAAAAACCTCACCATTATTGTTTTTTTTTTTTTTTTAATTATGATCACAGATTTAGGCCGGAGATATATGCTGTTTAGATCCATATCCATGAGTGGTTTAATGGCAAAACGTCATTGATGAATACTGTCCTTTAATGCGAAAGCACATTTCTGCCATTATTTTTTTTCCCATGAAGTGATGACTTCAAAATACAAACCAGAAATGCCTTTCTCGCATTGCAAAACAGTTTCATTTTAAATATATTAACGTTAAACTGGGGCCTGATCTTTTCGTCAATTGTTTCCAGTCAAGAAATGTGTGTCCGCAGTCACCCAAATGGCTGAAACTTGCCCAAAACTTCCTCCTGTTATACGCCGTGGATTTAAGAGCACGTGCCCAATACCGTTTTCTGTCTCCACATGTTGCTGACATCATGCTAAATCCGCCATTGTTGTTGTAAATACTGGAGTAATATTCAGGAACAAAAAAAAAACGGGATAGCACGTGCTGCTGATTGGAGTGAACTGAATGAGAGCTCCGTCTAGTGGAGAAATGGTGCATGGACGTCACTCGGTGACGTCAACACCAAACACGATTTACTGTTCCATCAGAAAGTACAATTTCCGGCTGATTATGGTTTTACAAATTCGGCCTACCGATTAAATGGCCGGACCCTATCTCTATAAATGCTATCATTTGCTAAAACTATTCTGATATTTACTAGCTTCATTTGTTTTTGTTTGTGTGCGCGTAAATGCGTGTGACATTTACTGGTGTGGTCTTAAAACAAGAAGAAGCCACAAGAAATTACAATTGTGTGTGTTTGTGTGGTTTGTGTGCGTAAAGCGATCCCCAGCAAAATGATCCTTTGGGGAACTATCTCAGACGTTCCCTCCGACAGGCCCCCTGCATCCCGGGCGAGATACAATATCACTCATCCAGGCGACATTGGTGGCATTCCTATCTGTGACAAAAGTGTCTAAACTTAGACGCTGATACCGGTGGCCATGCTAGCTGCTTTCAGCGCGCGCGCGCACACACACACACACACACATACACACACACACACACACACACACACACTCTTCGTCCTCTTCGGCAGTTGTTGGCGCTATAGTGCGGCAGTCTGAATACATCGGAGACTCATCATCTGCGTCAGAAAGGAAGGCGTTCTTCATAATGTTGTGTCATTGTGTTGAATTACTCGCAATATCGATACTCAGTATTGGCGAGTATAATCATGCATCGCACTCAGAGTGAATATCCGTGCTGATATTTTTTATTTAGTTATTTTTAATGGTATCGAACATCCCTAAAGATTTTGATAATGAAAAATAACTAGAAATGCAATAGTTAATGAATTGCCTTGTAATTCAGGCTATTCGACAGAACATTAACATCATTCACCAAATCCTCATTAGTTGAAGCCCTAAACATAATACTGGTGTTGAATAAAAAACATTAAAAAGCGTAAGTTCTGCACTGAATCATCAATGCGAACCCGCTCTTAGGTACTAAAATTGAAGACCAAATCGAATTAGAAATGCGTGTTAAGGAGAAATAATGATAGTGATTTGTTTTATTTTGGATTTGTGTTTGACCGAAGACGTTCAGACGATGTATGCCCGCAGCTCTGCTTTGCGCGCGCGTGCCCACCTGTTGTCAACGGCTGCCAAAATAAAAAGCCATTAAGTTGACAGGCACAATCGCTTGTTGTGGCTCACTGACAAAAAAAAAAAGCGAGCATTGCCAAATCACATAACAAGCACACCGCTGATTTTAGGCTAGCCATGTGCAGCTTTTGTCACATTAAATGGGGCCTTTCTAACCTGGTCGTTTCAATCATTTTAGCCCACTTTATTTCCAGCTACATTTATTTTTTACATCTGTCTCGTAAAGCATTGTTGTCTGGGAGAGGTATCGTGAAAAAGATGAATTTTGCTCTTCTATTTGGACCAAATCTTTGACCCACCTTTCAGAATTGAGAAGTTCTTCAAGTTTCGTAATAATCTGATCGAAATAGCCTCTGTGCTATCGTAAGCACGTGTAGCTACATTTTGAAATCAAACATGTTTTTCAATCTTTTTTTTTTTACATTTGCTGGGATAGAGTTTTATTAAAATGGGTCACTGCCAGGGCTGGCGTGAAGTAGGAGCTGAGTCCCAATATTGTGCATCTGAGATTTCATCGGAAATATTGCCTTTGCCGATGTAAAAATATTTTTGCTGTGAATGGTGCATGAAAGCTCCGTTTTCACTTGTTAATGACTCCGTGCACATTTCATGAATAGTCCGCCAGTTTTGAAGAAGGACTCAAGTTAAAGTGTGAGTAAAAACTCCAATAGCAAGGTGTGTGTAATCGTTGGTACTGAAGTGCGCTGTCACGGTTACCATGGGGACAGCGAGGGAATAAAAACAAACCACAAGCATAGAAGATGGCGAGGTTACGAGTTGCAGGAGCACGACTCAAGCATGATGTCACTCTGCTCTACTCTCTTTTCAGTAAGTTAAAACGTTTGACTTTTAAATGATCTCTTGACTCATATGATGTCATATTTGTTTTCATGGTGAGCATTTTTTTTTTTTTTTTTTTAACATGTGGCTGCGTGAAGAGCGTGAGAGCCCCTTCAAACTCTCGAGTTGTTCCTCTCGGGAGGCGACTGAATGAGAGCACAGGATGTGTTTTTTTTTTTCCTAGAAGAATTTATTTTTTCACATTTTTGTCATTGTTGCGAGCCAAAATTTGAATTGCAAGTCACTCAAATTTTGGGTGAACCAAAACGAAAATGGAGGGGTCAGACCAATAACGGTATGCCATGTTCACCAATATCAAGGAACTGATACTTTTGTTACATATAATTGCCATTAAATCAATGACAAATCTATTTCTGAAAAATATGATTTTGACAATAAAAATAAATAAATAAAAAACAACTAGGGCTGCAACTCATGATTATTTAAATAATTGAAGAATCCGTCAATTCTTTTGGCCATGAATCGACGAATCAGATGAAAACTACATTTTAAAACCAATCCCTTGATTTTTCCTGAGATATTGCTGTTCCGTCTGGCGATATCTTTTTGTACCTCCAGGAACGTGTTCTCACTTTCTGAACGGCGACCTCTTACTAATAGGCCAGGTGACATTTCCGCAATGGCCTCCCTTCTTTTCATGCGTGACCTTTTCATTGTTTTATTGTCGCCAGCCTCGCCCATTGTAGGGAGTCCCTGAAGGGGGGAGTCCGATTTTTGGGAGACTGGAGGGTGGGGGGGTAGTAGAAGAATCAAGCGGGTCTATATTAGCGCTGGTGAATCACAGCGAGCATGCTAATGCCACACCATGCCACCCGACTATCTGTGTCTATTCTTAGCCTGTCACTTCAGTTCGTCCGAGCAGGCAAGTCCCGCTCTTCCTGCTGGTCTTCCTTGCACTTCTTCATTGTGCTCACGTCGTCGTCGTCTTCTTCTTCTTGTGCTCTCAGAGGCCCCCGGTCCTCCCTCGCGTCCTGACGCTCTGGCCATCATAGACCACTGAGCCAAGACAACACCGAAAAAAAAAAAAAAAAAAGCTGTGACCTCCTTTTTAGGAAAAAGGAACTTTTCCTCACCTGGAACATGAGCTCGTACACGGTATCGCTGCCCGGGCCGGGACCTTGGGGCTTCCGGCTCCAGGGAGGGAAGGACTTCAACATGCCGCTCACCATCTCCAGGGTAGGATGATGCTCACATTCTTCTGCTCCTGGTAGTTCTTGAGATTCACAACCACAAACATCTTGATTGGCCTAGTACACGTAGTATCCTTAAGATGCAAGTGACCAAACTTGTGAATTTTTACAGATGCCGGCCGTAGTTCGGACGATTTTTCGCCTTGACTTGCAATTGCAAACTTGGTATCGGAGCGCTGTGTGGTGTCTAAGTCCCTTCACATGTAGCTTAAATAAAACGGAAAGAATGACGTCTTGTTTTTAAAGCAACCACATCATGCTAACACATAATGGGAACTCTGTTGACAGGCTAGCAATTACCATCAGTGTGGTGGTGTTCTAATCCTTGAGGCGACAGCTATTAGAACACAAACGGCGTAGCAAACAAACACAGAAAATCGCTATACTCACTGGGACATGTATTCTCTATCCTCTGTGAAGAATGATCAGTATTCGTGCGTCTTACATAAGAATGAGGAGTCTCTGTATAGCCATGTCTGTATTCTACTGCCCCCAGGTGGCGTAGCGGCACGTTGAAGTGAGAAGAGTAACGAAAATTGTTTAAACATCTGTTTTTACTTTGGCAAAGAATGAACAAAGATTTTTGCAGATTTTCTGACATGTTGTAAACCAGGGGTGCCCAACCAGTCGGTTGCGATCGACCGGTAGCCCGCGATCAACTTGTCCTGAGTCCATCGCCGAGGTTTGAGAGAGAACTGGAGGTTGGGGGGGAGAAAATTGTGTGTCTATGTGCGTGTTATTATGATTATTATTATTATTTTTGTTAGTGTACCATGCACCCTAAGCATCCGGTCAGTCTCACCTTTCACAAAAAAGTATTTAAAAAGGAAATTAAAAAAGCAGGTCCCCTTTGAACCACGATGGCACGTGACCTCCATCACTCGAAGTTGTTAGTGGTCAGCAGTCTGCAAATGCAGACCTCTTGCAATATATCTTTTGTGTGTGTGTTACGGTTGAATGTGCAAAAATTGGTTGGCTTGAAAAGTAGATCTCTAGTCATCTTTGTGCATTTTCTGCACTGTCAATTTGAAATCATTTCTTGTTTTGAAATCAAGAGATGGAAACAAACAATAATAATCCAAATTGAAAAAAAATAATGGTTCATTGATGATTGAAATAATCATTAGGTGCAGCCCTTGCACAAGGAGTCATTGGGAATCAACTGTGTTTGGCTCCGTTCAGTATTGAATAAATCATGGTGGTTTCTTATTGGTTCTCCTCCATCCTTCATGCCTGGTCTCAAAGTACATCGAATGGCACGTCCTCAGAACGAGATCCAAAATGCTTCCGCCACCAACAAATGGCTTCCTCAATCATTTGCAGTTTATGCCCAGAGGACAGAAGCCTTTTGGGGACACGAGTGAGGTGTCCTGGTGGGGTGCAATTGGGGTGGAGGGCGTGGCAGCTGTCAGCATTTGTCTCGCGCCAGGACGGCCGAAAGCGGATCCGCGGTGGCCTAAAAGTGGAAGCGGTGTTGGGTTCACGTGCGCTTGGAATAGAAAGCCTTAAGTCCGGATCCTCTGTTGCACTTTCAGGATGTTACGTGGCGATTGTTTGATAGGAAGTCACTTTGGCAGCTGGAGTGTACGCAGGTGCACAATATTACTTCGCCGTGTGGACTCAACTCAACTCAAGTGTATTTCTAGAGAAAAACGCTGGAATGAAAAATCAAGTCTCATCCCAAGTCAAAATGCAAAAGAATAAAAAAGACGAGTTTGAAAGAGGGGCAGTAAGGGGGATCGCCAAAGAGAGGGAGCGGCAATGGAAAAGTCTCCGCCCCCTCTGAGCCTCCGCTTAGTTCTTGCTACCTGTAATAGTGTCTGGTCCGCAGGTGCAGAGGACCACAGGTGCATAAAAAGTTACTCGGGATGACAGATGTGCAAATAAACAATGAGAGGGGAAGTTAAAAGCTTTTTTTTTTTTTTAAATCCTCGCTGTGGCATGAGCATCCGCGGCATGACCGCAACACTTGTGTCAGAGCCCATAGCGACGAAGGACTGGTCGCCACCCATTTCAGGGCCCATTTAGATACCCGTCTTGGTCTAATTCTGTGCCGGTGCATCTTTCCTTCTCTTTCACGTCACAATTGGACCGCCGTATGCTTTATTTTCAACGGGTTCAATCTATTTTATCTTCCTGCTCACGTCGCCAAATGTGAGCATCTTGAAAGTAATCCGCCCTTTTAATCCGCGTTGGTATCGCTGTGAAAACTGACTCCCGCACTTGGAGCTCCGCAGCTCCGAGGCCTCCAAATTGCAAGCAGGAAATCACTCTGCCGTTTTGCTCGGGGCGGTCCGTGGCTGACTTTGGAGAATGTGAAGACGTCCGACTTGTCATTGCGTCTCGCAAGATTCAGTCGAACGTCAGCTCTTTGGCACCCCCGACCCCGGATTGAAATGTCATTATTTCAGGATTCCCGATGACCTGACAATTGCAGACCGCAGGAGAAATCAGTCAGTACAGTAAATAGTTGCAAGTTGTATGTCAGCATTTGAAACATAACTGCACTCGGGTACATGTTTGAAAATTTCGCAATTCAAAAATGCCGTAAAATGGTAAAAATGACAACTGCCGGAATTCGGTCGGGGATGCACCCTGGTCCGGTCGCCAGCAAATATCAGGCCACACAGACATACACAAAGGACTGGTCGCTGGTCAATGTCAGCAAGCAAGCATTCCCTACTCACATTCACACATCAGGACAACTTCCAGTCTTGAATGAAGTTGAAATGCTAAGTGTTTGGAAGGTGGGAGAAAAACACGGACAGTGCTTGCAAACTCTACTCAGGGAAGCCCGAGAGCCAGAACCTCAGAACAGTTACAGACATTTCTGATGTCGTAAAAAAGTAACTGTCTCAAAAAAGTAGACATTGTCTTGCACGTGAGCTATTTCAATGGAATTGATAACCAGCTGTCTGACACGTTGACTTCAAACATGACCACTGTTTGAAAGGATGTCAAAAAATGACATTCAAATATTGATTTACTGTATCAACCGCAATGTTGAGGAAACGGAATGTGTATGTGGTACAAATACAGGACATCGAAGGGTCCACTTGAAGTAAGCCAGTGGGCCGAGTAGCTTCTTCTGCACAGTACTGTTGTTAAGGCGCAACTGTTGACAGGCACACGGCCGTTTTTAGCGACTGAAGGTCAGCCAACACACACACACACACACACACGCACATCTTATCAGTTAGCTCCTCCGTTAGCATCTACTGTTACATGTGCGCAGGGTCACTGCAGTTACTTTAAGATGGCCAAGATAACCTCTGCAGATATGACATATTTTTAGTCTACTCAGAAGCACTCGCTCAGCTTGGACCGTTGCGAGCTAACGCATCAGAGTTGCACTTTCATAGGCAGAATTTATTCTATCATCAGGGTTATATGCAGTACTGCAATACACTGTTTCGAGTCAATGAAGTGACTAGTTGTGGTCGAAACACAGAACCGTGTGGGATTCCATGACTTAGTTTTGCCGGCAGTGATTGTTTGAATTCATTATTTTTCACTCAGCTGGGACATCTGGGAGCTAAACCTTCATAGCTGAACTTTTCTTGGAAAAATAGAAATATGACAGGGTCATATGAAATACTACAACATATTCTGTTTGTGGACAACTAAGCCAATAATAGTGGCCCAAGCATGGAACCCTGCGGGAGGCCATGACTGACTTCTGTTGGTATCCTATTTCTCTGAGCTGGGCCCTCTGGGAGATTAACCTTCATAGTTGTATCATAGAAAGACAGATTCTTACCTGTCAAATGTAGTGCTACAATGTGTTTTGTTGATGGACAATTAAGAACCCTGTGGTACGTCATGGCTTTTGTTTGCTGGCATTTAATATTTTGCTTTCATTGTATTTGGTGATGATTTTTAAAAAATAGAATATTGAATGTATTGGATAGATAAAATGGATGACAGTGAAATTATCCATATTTTCCTATACCTACCCTTTACCATACCAACAAATCAAAATGATGACCATTTTATTCTTGATCCACTGGGTTGACATCAATAATGCAGTTATTTTTTGTTTTTTTTAATGGTGCACCCAATGAAACTGTTGCATCTGTTTTGGGTGGTGGTGAAAGTAGGCCAGACGTTCCTGCGACTGATCATCAAGCGGCTCGCATTAGGGCACTTTAATCAGACCCTCTTTGATCGACAGCATCTGCCTGCACACACCGTCGATGAAAGTGGAGCATGGCTTAAAATTTACGGTCATTTCACATTGACGCAAATGTTTTAAGCATTTTATCCACATGATCAATAACCTCTTCATTTGATGTCCAATTTTTTTTAATCCAAATTTGCCCTCTGATCAACTCGGAACGTGTCCATTTTTTTTTTTTTTTTTTTTTAATCTGCTCTCACGCCCAAATTGTGGTGGCCAGCTCTCCCGCAAGCCATCATGAGGACAAGCTTGATAGAAAATGGGTGCGAGGATGGATGCATGCTGGCTAGGTTGCACTTTTTCGAATGAGTCTATTCCTGCTTGTCCTTAATGGAGTCCTCCAGGTGTAAAGTTCAGAGGTGGTGACTCATGGGTCAGTGGCTGCAAATAGCGCAGCGCAGCGACCACAAAGGGGGGCTTTTGGGGGTTAAAAAGAGTAAGCCTAGCGTGTGTGTGTGTGTGTGTGTGTGTGTGTGTGTGTGTGTGTGTGTGTGTGTGTGTGTGTGTGTGTGTGTGTGTGTGTGTGTGTGTGTGTGTGTGGACAGCTGCGCAGGATTCACAGGGTGGTGCCATGGAGGCCGGCCGATGATCCGCTGTGCTTAGATGAACTTGAGTGAGCATTCAAGTTACGAGTGACCAGCGGACATGTTGCCACTCGAGCCAAGCGGAAACGCCAAATGAAATGATAATGGTTCTTTGATACCCTTGCAAGTGGGCAAGGACAGCCAGAGTTACTGATGCATATTAAGCAGTTAATCTAACGAGTCAAACACAGCAAAACCATGAGAACACTCACAGGGAGCTGCTGTAGACCACAGCTCACGCCCGAACCTTCTCACGCAGACGAACCTTCTCCCGATTCTGACTGATTTCCGTTTGCCTGTGCTGATTTTTGTCCAGATCACGCCGGGCAGCAAGGCGGCGCACGCCAACCTGGTTCAGGGAGACGTCATTATGGCCATCGACGGCGTGAGCACGGAGGGCATGACCCACCTGGATGCCCAGAACAAGATCAAGATGGCCAACTACAATCTGGCACTCACCATGACCAAGTAAGAGCCGATGCCCTCCACCCGAAACAGTTTGCCTTGACCCACCTGACTCTGTGCCTTTGAACCGAGTGAGGCAGGACATATCGGGCCTGGAAATGGCGAGTCATTTTCGCGGAACATCAACAGTTAACATAATTGAGAATTTGCAGTTGATGTTCAATCCCAGGGGGCTGGATTGGCTTTATCTTTGACACACCCAACCGACCTTGAGATATTTCACCAAATCGTTCTTTATTTTTTATGTTGTTCTTGTCAGCAAATTGATATTTCTTAATTTTTAAATTGTTTCTCTTCTCCCAGGAGGACTTTTGTTTATTTTTTTTTTTTGCTCCATATTCTTGAAAGCTTCTTATTCCTCGCTGGAAAACAACATTTAATTCCTCTCTTTTATTGTTTTTCTTTTCCTCCTCTCAAGGGCTCCGGCTTACAGCTCATGGAGGAGAAAAAGAAAAGTAATAACACAAATATAGTAGTAATGTACATGCCAAAGATGTGAGCAGATATGAAGATATTGTTGACTCGTGCATCCCTGCGCACGCTTGGAGAAAGCGACCCCAGGGGGTAAAGATGCCACGTGACCAACACGACACACAGGAGACAGTTTACAAAAGCAATTTGCTCACTACTGCGATTGGCTGGCAACCGGTTCAGGGTGTTCCCAGCCTACAGCCCCCAAGACAGCTGGGAAAGGCTCCGGCACGCCCGCGACCCTCCTGGGGAGAAGCGGCTCAGATCATAGATGGAGGGGGGGGGGGGGGGGGGGCTGCGTCGCCAAAGACATTGTGACTGTTTATATGTGTGAAACTTTTGACTGTCTCTGGTATGGAGGAGGAGGAAAAAAAGATTTTCTGTGAGGCGACGGACTGGTAACATCTGACGACACACATATTACGATGAGAATTATGACTTGTAATTGTAAATCTTTACAACTTTCCACTGTACCTCCTTTGAAAACAAAATGGTAGTTGTGATGTCACTGAGGACCTGCGAGGGTTTCTTAAAGGGGCGGTTACCCCATCGTGACGGGGTGGACACACGCATGCCAATATGAACGGAACCCAAAACGTGAACATGCGTCTTCAAAATGACTTGTTGAACCTCTAAGCCGTGTCTATTTTGTTTTTTTAACTTCACAAAGGAAGTATAAAATCCCCACATATGTTCTTGAGTGTCAAAAGGTTAAGAGGGAAGCCACCACATGGCCTCTCGGTCACCTGGAGATTTTTCTTAGTGTCATGTTTTTGATTATAAATAACTAGTCCTCAAAGAGGGCATTGGCGTGGATGTGGACGTGCCCCCTGGTCGCCCCAAACATTTTTTTCCCCCCTTCACAGATAAGATCTGATAAGATGAGTGAGGAAATGAATGTTGGTGCACGCCGAGGGCCAAGCGATATCTCATAACCGAGCGCCAACGCTCCGGGTGATGCACAGAAGACGCAATGCCCGGGATGAGGGTGAGGATGAGGGTGGATTTTGACCTCCCCCAGAGAGAGCGTTGAAAGCGTGTTGAGCGTGTGGGGATGAAGAAGGTTTGTTGGCACGTTCCTGCAAGTCACCGCACCGCCATCGTTGGCGTCATTTTCTTGCTTTTCAAACGTTTCCGTGATGCCTGCGGAGGAAACGCTGCACAAGGTCAACGTGGCAGACAAAATCAGCTCAATCAAGTCAAACTACAACCTGGGTGGGGTTAGAGAGGGAGCGATAATGTCAGAAATATGTTTGCGCAGTCACGTTTTGCCACGAAATGTTTCATTTCCACCTTCAAACGTGACCTTTTCCGTCTGTCAAATGAACGTTTTCCTCTCTTCTCTCGAGGTCAAAGCGTCCTGTTGCCATGCCAACGCCCAGAATTGACTCCGGCATTTCCTTGATCCCTCACCAGCAGGTGAGCTTTCCCATCTAGCATCGCTCTTCTCCGTTCTTTTCGCTACACTCCAAAGCCTTAAATGCGACGTCTTTGCCTTCCAAAGCGGAGGAAACCATCAAACCAAGACTTCAAACATGAAAATGAATTTGACATGAATTCTCATACTCGCCATATCAAGGGTTCTCAACCTTTGTGGGTCCAGGACTCCCTTGCAGGTTTAATGTTTTCCAAGGGAGCCTTGTTAATCCGAATTAGTTCTTCCTAAATGTTATAGCATTTAAAAGAAGAATTCTTCATGCTCTGACATTTTACAACAATAAAGTTGTATTATCCAAGATCAGTGATCATAGTAATATTCAAGTCAGAGTTTAACAAAGTCGTGAATTTCCCCCAAAATATTCTCTTAATAATCCGCCTTTTATTCTGGAAAAAAATTTGCCTTTATTTTCCCATGAAATTTTTTTTTTTTTTAGAATTGTCTCCTGTCATAATACAGCTTTTGTTTACTGATGCGCCCATCCTCGTATGTCGATACGTTTTTTTTAAAACAATCAGACATCTGAATTAATTGCAATATATTTACCCCCAAACTATGGCTGGTGGGGGGGTCCGAGGACCCCAGTTTGAGAACCTGCTGCTGCCCCCTTGTGGTCACTTTAACAGGTTAGAACAGAGGCATATTCATAACTTGATGGTAACATAATGGTATACATTTTTTGTTGATGAACCGCTTATGCCCCCGTCTCCTCCCTGGCCGTGGTCGCAGGTGAACGGTCGCCCGTCGGTCCGCGGCGCCTCACCGGGGCCCGCGGAAGCGGCCGGCGGCCCCGCCCGCAGGAAGCAGTATAACTCGCCCATCGGCCTGTATTCAGAGGAAACTCTGAGAGAAATGGCGGCCATTCAGGCGGGCCTGCCCGTGGGGTACGTAGCCAGGAAAAAAAAATGTGGCAGGAGTGTGATGAGCTACGACTTAACAATGGTACCTTGAAGCTAGAGTAGGGTCCCACTGATTCATTGAATAATGGCCCTTTTCAAAATCATAATCGGTTATAGTTTTGACAATTAAATGCCAATACATTCTCGCTTTCTCATGGCGCAGTCAATGCTATTCGGTGTTGAACCAAAACGGGATCCAATCTTTGTCTTATTTGTTTTTAAAAAGTTTCCCAGCAAGAAATGTGTGGCCAGAGTCGCACAATTGCAGAAACGTAGCCGGAACATTCTCCCGCCGATACTATTCCCCATCTTGACTTGTCGCTGATATCACGCTGACGAGCTTCTGACGAGCTTCTGCACCATTAACAGTAACTCGGTAAATCTGCTAACGTTGTTGTAAATGAAACGGCCACACCAGAACTGCAACATGACGTCATCTCCCTCGAAGCACATTAAGTGTACATTGAATGGCGTCAGAGCTCCAACTAGTGGACAAATGGTACAAGGACGTACATGAGTATATATATATATATATATATATATATATATATATATATATGTGTATGTGTGTATGTGGAAAGGTTTAATCATCAAAACTCCGATCGATCATGAGTTTGAGAAAAAAAAAAGGCGTGGAGTATAATATAAAACACACACAATACAGAGCAAATAAAGTAGTGTAATGCCTGTTGCATGCAGGCAAGGAGAAATGCGCAAACCATTTATTGAACAGAACAAACGGCTAAGCTCACAAATTCAGAATGAGACCCAAGGAGCTGCTGTAGGCCACAACCATCTCTGATTTAGAAAGAAAAAAGAAAAAATAAATGATTGCTTTGACACCGTCCTGTGGCATCTTGGTTTCAAAGAGCCGAGTCGAATTGGATTGAGAAGCTTCATTTAGTGTTTGGCCAATTACATACAAGTCAAGGTACCACTGTGCTTGTGTTGTTGAACGATCAGCGAAGTTGTGACGAAGTTGCACTTTGATGTCCGAGCTTCGTGTCATGTGACGGAGAAAAGCAAGAGCCTCAGAACATTTGCTGTCGAAGGGAAAGCAGAACGGATTTGTTCGTATAAAGCCATCCCTGATCAAATTATTGGCTAATTATTTTCATTATTCAAATTGCAGTTTCGTGTTTTATCATTTAGATGAAATGAATTAATTTATATGAATCAGACTAACAAATGACTGAATTTTGGGTTCATCAAATTTTCAACAAATATTACAAGACTGTTGATAAAGTCAATGCTGGCTCCAGAAAAGAATTCAATATTCCAAGATGAGATGGAAAGAATTTCTGCTCTGATTTTTGGAGCGATGGCGTCTTCCTGTTGACTGTTTTGAGATGAGCGCTGGTGTGGACGCGACGCGACAGATCTCCGACTCCATGATCCAGAACGCCTCTCTGGTTGGTTGGTGCAAGAAATGATTGGCAGCGAAGAAAAGCGCATTGATTTGTTGTTCGTGGGGTTTTTTTTCCCGTGGTGCTCGGCATTTGGAGTTTTGAGCAGCACCGCCTCAATGCCGCGAATTGAAAATCACATTTGCGAAGGTCTCTCGCTCCAAGTCTGGAGCCGTTTGAATCATTCAGGTTAGTCGAATCCTCTTCCAGAGAAGCGGCAAATGACATCATTCCTGATGATGTCACACTCACATCTCTCCTCCTCAGTCAAGACGTTCACCTCCTTGCTTCCTCTGGAGCTCTCCTCCTCCTCCTCCCATGAACTGAAGGTGATGATGTCACATGACTAATGTCCTTCTCTCTCCTCATTTTCCTCATATTGGCTGGCCGCCTTCATCCTCCGCTCATGGCCAAAACCAGGTTTTCAGCCCCCCTGCTCCCAAGTTAGTATCGTCCTGCCGAGCGCATCACATATCAAGTGTGTTTGTGCTCGTGTGTGTGTGTGTGTGAGTGGGTGTGTTCGCATTGTCATGGTAGCGCTGACTTGAAGATTGCACGGCACGTTGGCCCAGGAAGAAGCTGCTGATTTGGGGTGTGTTTGTTTTTCAAGTTGCAGTGATATGGTGCTACTAAAACCTAGCCGCTGGCTTTTTTGTTGTTGTTTTTTTTTTTGTTTTTCTGG